GACCGCTCCCCCCGGACAGTACAGAGGTAGCCCCCCTCCCTGAACCCCTGAGCGGCTCTTAGCCCCGGGTCAGGCAGAACTGATTGTGGAGAGGGGCGGCGAGGCCGAACTTGATCATCGCGGGGTGAAGTTGCGAATCGAGGTTGCTATCTTCTGATGTTGACCAACAACATCATCAAGTCGCTGAGCATGGCAATGGAGGTGGACAGAACCCTCACCCTGACACGCCGATTAGTGACGTCCGCTTGCGGTTCTCGAGAGGGAGTCGCGTCTGTCATCTTCCAGGCTTGCGCCCGCCAGGCTTGGGCCCGGCGTCGGTTTCACTGAGCCGCGTTTTGCTACGAAGGGGGTCCTGCCCATCCCCGAGACATGTCCGCCGAGGCACTGGCGCGAGGGCCCCTGTGGTGCGCGCTTGCGGACCCGCCTGTTGGACCATCTCCTGGCGCCGTCTTGGAGGCCTCATGGGCCCCGCATGGGCTGCGCGTCCGTGGAGCGATCTGAGAGGACTCCCTGGGCGTCTTTGGGCGCTCGCGCGACGCGCGAGGCGAGAATGGCCAACTCGTGTCAACAAATCGCCGCTCGGGACCATCTGGGCGCACGTTGGACGCCTGGATTCCCCATCGGGTATCCGAGGCACCGGGAGAGGTCGCGCGACAGACCCCAGAAGCGCCCTGGCCCGCCCACGAGCATCCGTGAGGCGATCTTGGGCGTCTTGGCGCGCCTTTGGGCCATCTCGGGACCATCTCGGACCGTCTCGGGGCTCTCTCGGGGCCCTCCTGGTCTGTCTCGTCACCCTCTTGCAGCTTCTTCGGCGCTCTGGGGGCATCCCGGGGCAACTGGGCAAGCTCTGGCCCCCACAAAGGAGCCCAAGGGGCCCCGAGTAGGCCCCGCGAGGGACCCAAGAGGGGGGCAGCGAAGGGGCCGTTGGAGCCTTTCCCCCGAATGTTGTGCACCACCCTCCCAGCATGTTCCCAAGAGGCCCCCAAGAGGACCACAAGAAAGCCCCCAGAGCCCCCGGCACCCCCCCAAGATGCCCCGAGAGGCCCCTGGAAGCCCCCAAGAGGCTCTCAGGAGGCCCCAGCCTCTGGTCCACAATGCTGGCACGGTGGCGGGATGGGGCCACTGCAGCTTTCCATCGCCCCAAGACGCTACCAAGATGGCCCAGAGGAAATCGAGATGGCCCAGGGGGGGCATCATCACCGCTCCAGAGGTCCCGAAAACGGCCGAACTACTGCCTCAAGAGATCCCCAAGACCGACCAGGGAACGCCCAGACGCTTCCCAAACGGCATCGCAATACACCCAAGACGAACCCTCCGGCACGCGTCCAAGAGGTTTCAAGACTGTCCTTTCATGGTTGAAGGCGCTGAAGGCAGATGAAGAGTAGGATGAGGAGGATGAGGAGGATGAGGAGGAGGAGTAGGAGGAGGGGGAGGATGAGAAGGATGAGACGGAGAAGGAGGAAGAGGTAGAGTACGCACTTCCAGGGGAGATGCCCCAGATATGGCCCCAGAGGGACTGAAGATGTCCCAGTAAAAACAGAGGAGCCCCAGTCGGCACAAGCGGCACCAACGCCGCCTTGAACGGCCCTCCTTTCACCTCCTCCCTCACCCCTTCCTTTTTTCCCGCCCTCCCCTCTCACTTCTTCTTTCCTTAGTTCCTGTCCCTCCCCTTCCCCCCAGTGCTGCTCATCCTTCTGCCCTCCCTTTTCCCTTAATCCGACTCCTCTTTTGTTGCGAACCCCATGGCCACCGCGGCGCAGCAGGCAACACACTGGGGCGACCCAAGGGGGAACCGTCAACGGGGTAGGACCTCGTCCTTGTCCTCGGTCCTCCTTCCTCCCCTTCGGCACTCGTCGCTCATCCAGCTGCCCTGCTCCCTCCTGCCCCCCTTCCCCCCTTAGCCCGCCCTCCCCGCTCCCTGCTCCCTCCTTCCCGTTGGCTGGCGGACTGCGCGGAGGCGGGGAGGGTGCAGCCGACTGGCGGCCCCGTCGGCTGGTGGGTTGGATGGGCGGCCTCAGAAGAAGGGTATGATGATGGCGCTGCTGCCACTGTCGCTCCTCTCCCCACTCGCCTCCCCCCTCCTCCTTCTCCTCCTCCTCCTCCACCTCCTCCTCCGACTTGGGGCCCTCTTGGGGTGCTCCAGGGCCGTCTTGGAGGCTTCCTGGGGCGTCTTAGAAGCTTGTTGGGCCGTCTTGGGGCCCTATTGGGGCTGTCTTGGGGGCCTCTTGGGCAGTCCTGAGGCCATCTTGGAGGCCTCTTGGGCGCTCTGGGGGCGATCTTGGGAGCCTCTTGGGGGCCGTCTTGGGCAGTCGGCGGAAGGCCGAAAAGGAGCAAACACGAACATCCTTTGAAACCATGGAAAATCAATGATTTTAGCCTCTTCGGGCCCTCCTGGAGGACCTCTCGGAGGCCTCTTGGGCCGTCTTGGAGTCCTCTTGGGCACCTCTTGGGCAGTCTTGGGCCGTCTTGGAGGGTTCTTGGGCGAACTTGGAAGTAATTTGGACCCAGGCCGTCTTGGAGGCATCTTGCAGGCCATCTTGGCCGTCTTCGAGGCATCTTGGAGTCCATGTGGGGCCATTGTAGGCCCCACATGGACTCCAAGATGCCTCCAAGACGGCCTTCAAGACGGTGCAAATTCGGTCCCTTCCGGGTGGCCGGCGGGACGGGCCAGAGCCCCAAGGGAGAGTTCTTTTGGGAAAAAACCAATACCAAAACCGAAAGGATCCAGCGCGACAGGTACCTCTATGACAAGCACAGGGGGCGGCGGATCTAGTGGTCTACGGCGCATCCCGCCACCGCGCCTGGGTTGTGGGTCGGGGTATTTCCAGTTGGTACATGTCGGTGCGTACTTGCATCCCAGCGGGTGTAGGCGGGTATTTCTTGGATTGTTTCGTGTCATGTTTTGCATGGTGTTTCGCCGGGCATGTCGTGGAGCGTTGCGGTGGGTGTTTCGTGGTGTGTTTCATTGGGTGCTTCCTGGGGTGTTGCTTATGCTGAGCCAGGTGCTTCGCATCACGGTTGGTGGGGTGTTTTGCTGGTTCCGTTGGGAGATTCGTGGGGAGTTTCGGTGGGTCAGATGCTTCTTGGATGTTCGTTGGGATATCATGCCGGCCTCTCGGGGGCCACTTAGAAACAGTTTTGAGGCCTCCAGTGGGCCGTCTGGGGGCCTCTTTGGGGCCTCTTGGGGGCCTTTTGGAGGCCTCTTGGGTCTTCCTGGGGGCCTTTCGGGCTGAAGGCTCGAATTGTCGGTTCGTGTTCCCCTTCTTGACTCCCTCTTGGAACCGTCTCGGGGCTCTCTTGGATCGTCTTGGGCGCCTCTCGGGCGATTTTGGGACCCTCTTGGGCTATCTTGAGACCTCTTCGGGGCCTCGGGCCCGTCCTGGGGCTGCCTGGGGGATCCTGGGGTCGTCTTGTTGCGTCGGAAGCTCGAAAAGGCGATAGCGTGAAAAACATAGGAAAGAGCGCTCTTGGGGCTTCTTTGGGGCCCCTGAGGCCGTCTGGAGGCCAGCGTGGGCGTCTCTGAGCGTTCTTGGACTGTCTTGGAGGCCTCTTGGGCGCCTCTTGGGGCCCTCTTGGCCCGTCTTGGGGCCCTTTGGCCTCTGGAAAATTCATGCGGGGATGCCCGAGAGCTCGCGGGAGCGCCCGGGAAATTCGGAAGTCTGGGGCCCCAGCTCGTAAATATGTGAATCCCCCAGTCCTGAGTACAGAGAACAGAGGACACATGAGAGCCTCGGGGTAACTCCACTTTGTTCCTCGAGGCACGGTGGCGGATATTTATATATATACATACATACACATGTACACATACACATACATATACATATACATATACACAAACACATACACATACACATACACATACACATACACATACACATACACATACACATACACATACATACACATATACATGTACATGTACATATACATATACACATACATATACATATACATATACACATACATATACATATACATATACATATGCACGCACATATACATATACATATACATATACATATACATATACATATACATATACACATGCATATACATATACGCATGCATATACATATACGTATACATATACATGTACGTATACATGTACATATACATATACGTATACATATGCATATACATATACATATACATATACATATACATATACATATACACATACATATACATATACATATACATATACATATACATATACATATACATACACGTATACGTATACGTATACACATACATATACATCTACATATACATATACATATACATATACATATACATATACATATACATATACATATACATATACGTACACGTATACGTATACATATATATATATATATGTACATGTACATATGCATATACATAAACATATACATACACGTGTTCATATACATGTTCATGTACATATACACATACATATACATTTACATGTACATATACCTATACACATGACTATATACATATATATATATATATATATATATATATATCAGGCTCCACCTGGCACCCCCCCTGGGGGGGGCGACCGCATCCGCTCTGGTTCAAGGGTTCCCGAGCAGGTATCGGCCTCCCCCTGGAGCGTACCGCACGCCGTTCCCCAGGGCCCCAGTCCCAAGTCTGGGCGCCGAGATTATTCCTTTCAGTTGCCTCTGCGACTGGCGGGGGCCGAGGGTGCGGCCGCAGCCCAACGGCCACGCATCCAGCTGTATGATTGCAGATGTCAGAGTGCTGGAGAACACGGGCATGACTGTCACGACGTGGGCAATGAGGCGAGCCATCAGAGGTCTGGTTTTGCATGGTCTTTGCCGGTCTTGTGGCCGACGTTTCGATCTGGTGCAGGCTGCCCAGCTCGCCGACTCCGCGACCCTTCAGAGTACTCAAGTGGCCTTGGGCACGAAGACCAAGACAGCTGACTTATTGGGTTTGCCGCTTGCTCAGGATCTTTTTGTCTTTTCGGCGACGGTAGCAGCCTCCCGTCCGCGATGACGTACACCAGATGCGAGTTCGCTCGGTCAGCTGTGAGAGCCTGCGTGTCGTGGACAGGCCAGACGGGCTCCTACGACGGCTCAGCTCCCCGGAGATTAGTTCTGTATTTCTGCAGGGCACGTCTATGGATACCGATGTGGGGATTTCTCAGGTGCAGTGTAGTTACTCCCCGTACGGCAGCCGACTGTCATGAGCTTACCATTGTGCTGCGGGTTTTTCGTTTGAGAGCGCTCAACACATGTTCCTTGAGTCGTACGACTCACTCCACGTGGGCCCATCCAAACGGAAGTCACTGCTGTACATATTTCTTGATGTGCAAAATTGTTCATTGCCTTGGTTCGTCGGCGCAGGTGGATCGCACGTCCCCTGTGAGTCTTGGTGGATTTCACGATCGCTGCCCTGTGGGCGATCTCTTCCTGCTGCCGCAGCAGAAGCCGACGAAGTCCCCGAAGAGAGTGCTTCGCTGGAACCGACAGCTGTTCGGCGACGCCGTCGACCTCTGCGGTTGGGTGAAGGTGGACGTGGACGCCCTGCGCAACTATGCGATTGGTGAGAAGATGAACAGGTACCGCGCTGCCGTTCAATCTAGGCTGGATCGCTTGCCAGCTGCCCTCAGTTCCAGTGATCGCTATGGATATATCGAGGATGCCAAGGTTAGTCCTGGTCCTGACATGGTTTTGCGAGCCGAGAAACTATATCGAAATCTGTTGTTGAGAAGCATTGGTGGATGAGGATTTTTTTGCGGACGGTGAGCTCACTTTTGCCCTGCAGTATTATTTTCAGCATTGTGTAGTCGCGAAAGCCATGGGGGTGTCTGTATCGACATGAAGACCAATGGTGCGTTCTTGGTGGAGGGGGTTGCGTTACTGTTCAACATTGACTTCTCGCGAGGTGCCTTCAAGACGTTGCCAGGGCGCATCCAGATTTCGTTGATGTTTCTCGTGGTGCTACGGAATGTGCCCAGGGTGATGCCAAGTTTAGCCGTCGAGTTTTTCGGTCAAACTTCTCCGCTCTCCCCATTGCCCATGTCGTTCAGTCGTTTCAGTTAATGCCGCGGCCCCATCATCAGTTGGAACAGCGCGACGTGATGCTCGGCACCCACCCCTTGGCGAGCGCCGCGCAAGGTGACAGAGGATATGGGCTCCAAGCGGAAGGCCACTGGCGTGAAGCAAGACAAGGTAGAGGGTAAGGCCGAGGCCGATGGCGCAGCCATGGTCGGGCCACTTTAGCCCGCGGCATGAAGCGCGCCCAGGGGCTGCAGCTGTTGGGGGCGATTGCGACGCTCACCCTGCTGTTGGACGAAGAATGTGCAGTTCTGTGCCGCGATCAGGATTTCGTGTTGGAAGCGCCTTTGGAGAACGAGCTGGCGCAGGGAATTGGCTGGACTTTCGAACAGTATGGCAAAGCGGGCGTATTGTATCGCAAAAACGCAAAGGACGAGGAGGCCGGTTTTCTTGGACCCCCTTCAGCGAGAAACCAGCGGCTCTTTCCTCGGTTGTTGCGCCGCCTCGGCGAAGCCTGCGAGGAAATGGAGAGCCGAGATGCGTTGCTCCAGCAGATCGCCGACTGTGGGAAAATAAAAGGGGTTGGCAGACATGGCGGCGGTCCTTCTTGTTCTGTTTGCCGCTGCGTCGTAGAAGGCACTTGTTGTCTTCGTTATTTCGTGTCTCCATGCGCTTCGAGGTTGTAATTTCGATGAGCGGAGCTGGCGATGGTGAGTTCGTGTGACTTAGCTATTTCTCCGGACGGAGGAAGTCGAGTTGCCGCTCTCGAGTGTTCGCTAGGCTCAGTTGTCACGCGACATGGGGGTCGAGTTCGCATTGGATATATGTATTGGCCGGGGAGTCGGGCAGCCGAGAATGTTGCGAGAATTGCCTTTGGCCCGTCCCCGCCATGGGCTGCGTTGAGGGCAAGGGCGCTTCTTTTCGGAGAATTTTCGATGTGCGGCGGGTGGGGCCCACGCAGGCTGCAGAGGCAGCGTGCTCGGCCTCGCTCTCGATTGCGCCGCGCGGCCGCTGTGCCACGCGCGTCGAGGCAGGGGCTTGCTTCGATGACGACGGCTGCGCCAGGCGCGCTTTGGCCTCCAGGACGGACAAGCGGGGTGCAATACATATATATATATATATATATATATATATATTCCTTTTTCTATACTTTTACAATCCGGGGGGGTGGGACCCCCCCCCCTCCGAAAATCGGACACCCGGGATCTGGCGCTTGTGGTGCCCCCTGGACGCCTTGCAAGGGGTCCCCCGGGCCTTCCGGGCCTCCTGGACGCCCCTGCCGGGCCTTGCCAGCGGGCCCCAAGCGGTCAGGAGGGCGGCCAAACGGCCCCGCGAGAGCCCCGCGCGGCCCCAGACAGCCCCGAGACGCCCGAAGACGACCCAAAGAAGACCCCCAAGAGGTCCTCCAAGTGCAAAAAAAAACAACACTTTCCTTTCCTTTCCTTTCCTTTCCTTTCCTTTCCTTTCCTTTCCTTTCCTTTCCTTTCCTTTCCTTTCCTTTCCTTTTTTTGCATTAAAAAGAAGGAATTTTTGGACATTCGGTTCTTCGGTATCCCGCGCGTCCGAGTCCGCCGAAGAGGCCCCCAAAATCTTCCCACAGCGGTGTCAAAGGGCTTCCAGGCAGTCCAAAAGAGCCCACATATGGTCCAACAGGGCCGCAAGATGGCCCCAAGAGGGCCCCGCTGACAGCCCCAGATGGCCCCGAGACGCCTCCCGAAGCATTCCAAATCGTGACTCGGTCGTTCAGGGAGACCGTGGTTGGTAGCAAGGTGGCCGCAAGAAGCCCCCAGAGGCCCCCAAAAGGCGCCCAGGATGCCCCCAGAGGTCCACAAGAAGCTTTCGAGAGGGGCCCAGGAACACCTCCAAAGAGGAGCCCCTGCAACAAAAACTGGGGATGAGGACAAGGAGTGGCTCGCAGACAAGGAAGATTACGAGTAAGAGGAGAATAAGTATAAGGATAGTACATAACATTATTATAACGACAATGGCGCAAACGGCAACAATGAATATTCGCTATATTTGGCTCTCCTGCATGCCGAGCTTCAAGAACCAAGGTGCATGGCGCGAAGCGCCAATGCAGTCTGGTATATATATGTATATTATCATTGTTGAGCATTAGCGAGGATGCCAGTTCAAAGTCGAAAATGAGAAATCCCGGGCAAGGGGCCTGAAGTTGAAGTGAGATGGCTAGGGGTAATTGGAGGATCATGCGTTTGTAGGGAACTGTGGAGGAAACGTTTCTTGCAGTTCCGTGATTCAGGCTATCTTGGGCCCTCTGGATGTTGAGGTGAGAGGGCGAGGGGCAATTGGACGTTGCAGTGAGGGGGCGAATGGTAGTTGGATGACTTGGAGTTTGAAGGGAATTGTGGATCAAGCGTATGAGGAGGCTCCGTGCCTCAGGCTATATTGAGCAATATTTCGTAATCGTCGAGGCCAGCGAGGGCCTTGTGGTGATCGTTGGAGCCGCGGGGCCCTCTCAGGGGGGCACCGCGAGATGCATGGTGCCACGTTGGTTGGCCGATCCAGGACCTTCCGGGGGCAATCTTACAGCGTCTTGGAAACCTCGCAGGGCAAGATTGTTGAGTGTTTTTTCGGGGCCGTCAATGTAGCAGCGTCTTGCGCTCTTGTATTTGGCCTCCTCGCGCCTCCCAAGAGCGGGGCCATCGTGGAGGAATCGGGCAACGCATCCATTGCCGCAATCATCCTCGGCCGCCAGCCCTGAAGGCATTGCGTTCCATTTTTTCTTCTGGCAATGCACATGGCCTTCGCCATCTGCCTCCAGGTCCTTGTGCCGGGCGATTCGCGAGGCCTGCTATGTGGCCACTCGCGTCGCACGCGCCGCATGTCCCGGGAGTTCGAGAGGCGCCGCCCGCCCCTTGGTTGTCCCCAAACGCGGTGGTGAGAACGCCCGGCGGTGAGTTTTGGGCGATTTGGGCAATGGTTTTCGAGCGCTGGCTGGCCCAGGAAACGAACAACTCGTGGCGACCGCGTGTCCCCAAACCCGGCGGTGACCCAGAATTATTTTTGGGGGGAATCGGGGTCGCCACCGGGTGTCTCACCACTTGGTTTGGAGACCACCAAACCCCGCATGATGGACCTGCCTCGCCCCCAGCGCAGGCAGACGGGTCGCGGCGCGGAGGGCCCTGGCCGCGCGGGCGCGGTCGCGCGGGCAAAAGGGCCCCGCCCCGCTCGAGCTAAGCGCGCCCTCGCGCGAGCTGCCCCGCGGCCGGGCCCAAGCCGCCGGCGACATCGCTGGGGGGCGCCACGGGCTCCTTCTCCTCCTCCTCCTCCTCCTCCTCCTCCTCCTCCTCCCTCCCCCTCCAACTTCTGGTGGTGGCCCACCGAGGTCGCGCGGTGCCCGCCGAGGCCGCCTCGGCGAAGCTTCGGCGGGCAGCCTTGGGGGGGTATGATGCCAAACTTGCGGGCTGCACCTCCTGATGGATGTGCAGATCCGCGCTGTCCAGCTGGAAGCAGGAGGAGCATAGTCCGGTAGCGGCCCGTGTGCAGTCCCGCCGCGGCGGGCCCTCCGAGCCCGCGGGCGGCCAACGGCGGGGCGCGGCGGCCTCCCGCGCGCTCGCGGCAGCCCGCCCTCCAGCCGCCGCGAAGTCCGCGAGGAGGCCCTGGGCGCCGGGCGGGCACGGGGGACGGGCCCTGGGTGGCGGGGATCCGCGCCAGGCGCAACTTGCGGGCTGCACCTCCTGACGGATGTGCAAATCCGCGCCGTCCAGCTGGAAGCAGGCCTCGCCGCGGGCGCGTTCAGGCCACGCTGCGCGGCGAAGGTGCCCCACGACTCCTGGAACGGCCTTGGCCTTCTCAGAGTGAGCGGCCGCGGCCTCGCGGGCGCGACAATCGCGTCGATTGCTCCGCTGGCCCGCAGGGATACGTGACTCAACGTCTTGACCAAATTGAGATAGAGGGCGAACAATCCATGAGATTGTTGCGCCCTGGGGCCTCCGCGCCGCGGGCCTTCTCCACCGTGGAATCGCTGGCCGCCAACCTGTGCGCCGCCAGCTCGGCGACGCAGTCGGCCCTCGTCGATGGGGCCTCTGTGCAGCCTGGAGAGCTCGTCGCGGCCCGTGGACTGCAGGTATTTGCGCGGCTATGGCGAACGATATCGGCCCCTGCGGTGAGCAGCCATGACGCGAATCGCAGCCTTTGACGATTTCAAAAATAACTCAATCTGAGTACTACTCTCCCTCTTCCCCTGATGACGGTTTGCAAGTGTTCGACCCCCCCCCCCCCCGCGTGTTGTTTTTTACACAGGTTTCCCTGGAGTTGGGTTTTCGCTTGCATGTTTTCAAAATGCTGCTCTCGCTGAGGCGCCGGCCTCATTTTCGGGCCCCGCTCATTCCGAATCGTGCTCCCGCTGCAGCGCTGGCCTCATTTACGTGCTTCCGCTCGTTCCGAATCGTGCTCCCGCTGCAGCGCTGGCCTCATTTCCGCGCTTCCGCTCGTTTCGACTCGTGCTCCCGCTGCAGCGCTGGCGTGATTTCCCGTGCCATGCCACGACATGCGATGCAATGCTAGGTTGATGCTACGCTTTGCGGTGCTCTTCTACGCCATGCCACGCCGTGCTCTACAATGCATCGCGTACCCTTTCGGGATCATTGCCCTGCTCGACATCCGACTGTGCGAGTAGAGAGGCGATCTACGCCATGGTATAGGATGGGAGGGACGGGTAGGATGTCAGATCTGACGCGAGCGCACCTAGTTTGCCCCCCCCCCCCCCTCTCTTTTCCCCCCCCTCCCCCCTCTCTCCTGTCCCCCCCCCCTCCTCTCTCCTGTCCCCCCCCCCCCTCTTTCCTTCCCCCCCCCCTCTCTCTTGTCCCCCCCCCTCCTCTTCTCTTGTCCACCACCCCCTCTCTCCCCGCCACCCCCTCTCTCCTTTCCCCCCCCCTCTCTCCTGTCCCACCCCCCCCTCTCTCCTGCCCCCCCCCACCCTCTCTCCTTTCCCCCCCCCTTCGCGTGTCAATTATTTCGTCCTTGGCGCCCCCCCCTTCCCCCCTTGCAGAGCGAAGCTTGAGCGAGCCCCCCCCCCCTCTCTCTCCTTCCCCCCCCCCTCGCGTGTCAATTCTTTTCGTCGGTTTTCGTCGCTTGCGTCCCACCCCCGACCCCCCCCCTCCAGAGCGAAGCTTGAGCGAGCTCAAGCCCACGCTCTCAGAAACTCACACGCCGGATCGGCGGATATGCAGAACCCTTGTTCCAGGTCGCCGCGTGGCCCGGCCTCATGAATCGATGGCGGGACCGGGGCTCCAGGACCCCCCGTTCCCGGTGCAAGACGACCTGAATGGCTTCCGTGACGGCCAAGATGGCCCATGATGGCTTCAGAGATGCTTCCAAGACCGCTAAGATGGCCTCGAGAGAGCCCAAGGTGGCCCCAAGATGCACCCTACACGGCCCAATATTAGGTCCAGTAGCTCCACATAGCTTCCGAAGCGGCCAAGACGCCTCCAAGACGTCCCTTGGGAAAGCCTGAATATGCGAAACTCATAGATCTTCCGTTCGCTTTTGACGGATTTGTTGCATTTGTTTTTTTCTTCGGCCTGCCGACGGTACAGATGGCCCACGAGGCGCCCAAGATTGAGGACTAGGGGTGAGCGGTGTGTGGATACCACATGGCCAGGGCCAGGCATTCCTTTCGGCAACCATTTTGGCTCAAGCCGCGCCGCTTCTCCCGGCACGCGCCCCGGGTCCGCGGGGGTCGCGCGGCGCACCAGGTCTCCCGACGCCGCCGTGGGGTTCACGGGCAGTGCGCTGCCACGGGGGACCATGCCAGCTGTGGAGCGCCAGCTGCCGCTTGGCCTGGAGACCAAGAATACCTTCCTGGACTGCCAGTCGCCATGGATCGACTACGTCACAGTGGGCGGGCGCGCGAAGTCGGACCCCACGTCCGACTCATCGTCGGCCTCGGTGGCCGCCGAGCTCTCCCAGAGCAGCGGGGTCCTCGAAGGCCTCGGGTGCAGTCCCGAGGCGAGGCTGCGCGACGGGAGGCCGACCGCGCCTCCGCCCGAGACGGGGCCGCGGCGCCGCCACGACGCGGCGGAGCGCTGGCGGGGCTCGCGAGACCCGAGCAGCGGCGCCATGGGCAGGGTCGCGCGGCGGCCCCGAGGCCCGCAGCCCGGGGGCGAGGGCGGGCGACCCAGCAGCTCGGAGGGCGAGGGGGCCCCCGCGCTGGACAAGATCACCCGGACGCAGCGGCGCCGCCTGCAGCGGAAGGGCCAGCTGGGCGGCGGGGGCGGCAGCTCGACCGCCCCGCAGCAGGGCAGCCGCGGCGGCCCGACCGCCGTGCAGCAGGGCGCCTCCACCAGGCTCTCCCTGTGAGCTGCCCGCCTTCGGCGGCCCGGGCCCCGGCGGGCCGACGGGCCAGACCCGAGCTCCGCCGCCCATTTCGCGGCGGCGGCGGCGCCCCTCGCGCGGGCTCTCAGCGTTGGGGCACGCCACCCGCGCTCCGCGCGGATTTTCTTGGATCTGCGCTGGAGCGCCCTGGCGGCGCCTCCAGCGCCGCTCCTGGGGCGCTCCGCGCGCCAGGGAAAGCGCGTGTCCGAGATTTCTACTCGTATGTTTGAGTACCATTGATTTTTTTGGTTACAGTACAGCTTTAATTGGTTTCGGAATTATTTCTGTAGTGCGCACTGTATGCAATTACATCAATAATTGTGTCGGGAATTAATAATGTAGGCTCGAAATATTGCCAAGAGCATTTTGGTTATGTATTTCTATTGAGTTGGGAAGTTAGAAAGGAATTCGATAAGGAATTTCCTGAGTTAGAAAGGAATTTGAATACCAGAGATAGTTCTGAACCTCAAAGACAATCGAGTCCGAATTGCCCGAGGAAGCCAGGGCCAGGAAGGGAAAAAGGAGTTAGAAAGGAATTCGATAAGGAAATTCAAGAGTTAGAAAGGTTTTTTTTTTTTGTTTGTTCTTTGGTGTTTTTGGACAAAAATAAAAAATATTAAAAACAAACAAAAAAAAACGACGCCGAGAGGTCTGAGCCAGGACGGAAAAAACGAGTTAGAAAGGAATTTGATAAGGAAAATCAAGAGTTAGCAAGCAAGAAATTTCGTTTTGGGGGTTGTTTTTTGTTTTGCTTTTTTAAGACGCCGAGAGGTCTGGGCCAGGAAGGAAAAATGAGTTAGAAAGGGATCTAATAAGGAATTTCAAGAGTTAGAAAGGAATTTTCGGTTTTTGGGGTTGTTTTTCGTTTCGTTTTTTTTACGACGCCGAGAGGTTTGGGCCAGGACGGAAAAAGGAGTTAGAGAGGAATTTAATTAGGAATTTCAAGGGTTAGAACATAATTTGTTTTTTTTTCTGTGTTGTTTTTTGTTTTGTTTTTCATTTACGACGCCGAGAGGTCTGGGCCAGGAAGGAAAAAAGGAGTTATAAAGGAATTCAATAAGGAATTTCAAGAGTTATAAAGGATTTTGTTTTTGTTGGGGGGTTGTTTTTTTTTGTTCGGTTTTTTTACGACGCCGAGAGGTCTGGGCCAGGAAGGAAAAAGGAGTTGGAAAGGAATTCAATACGGAATTTCAAGGGTTAGAAAGGAATTTCGTTTTTTGGGGGTCTGTTTTTTGTTTTGCTTTTTACGACGCCGAGAGGTCTGGGCCAGGAAGGAAAAGGGAGTTAGAACGGAATTTAATAAGGAATTTCAAGAGTTAGAAAGGAATTTTGTTTTTTTGGTTGTTTTTTTTCGGGGGTCTGTTTTTTTACGACGCCGAGAGGTCTGGGCCAGGAAGGAAAAAGGGAGTTAGAAAGGAATTTAATAAGGAATTTCAAGAGTTAGGAATTTCGTATTTCGTTTTTTTTTTTTTTTTTTTTTTTTTGTTGTTGTTTTTTTTCAACGACGCCGAGAGGTCTGGGCCAGGAAGGAAAAAGGAGTCATAAAGGAATTTAATAAGGAATTTCAAGAGTTAGAAAAGCATTTTGTTTTTTGTGGTTGTTTTTTGTTTTGTTTTTTTCGACGCCGAGAGGTCTGGGCCAGGAAGGAAAAAAAGGAGTTAGAAAGGAATTTAATATGGAATTTCAAGAGTTAGAAAGGTAATTCGTTTTTTGAGGTTGTTTTTTTTGTTTTGTTTTGTTACGGCGCCGGGGGCGTTGGGCCAGGAAGGAAAAAAAGGAGTTAGAAAGGAATTAAATAACGCATTTCAAGAGTTAGAAAGGAATTTCGTTTTTGTTGTTGTTTTTTTAGTTTTGTTTTTTTTTACGACGCCGAGAGGTCTGGGCCAGGAAGGAAAAAAGGAGTTAGAAAGGAATTTAACAAGGATTTTCCAGAGATAGAAAGGAATTCTGGATACCAGAGAGAATTCTGAATCGCAGGCCCACTCGCGTCAGAATTCCCCAAGAAACGCTGGGGCCAGGAAGGGGAAACGGAGTTAGAAAGGAATTCGATAAGGAATTTCCCGGGTTAGAAAGGAATTTCAATACCAGAGAGAATTCTGAATTTCAAAGACTATTGAATCAGAGTTCCCCAAGAAACTCTGGGGCCAGGAAGGGGAAAAAGAGTTAGAAAGGAATTTGATACGGAATTTCCCGAGTTAGAAAGGAATTTTGAATACCAGAGTGTATTCAGAATTTCAGAGACTATCGAATCAGAATTCCCCAAGAAACGCTGGGGCCAGGAAGGGGAAACACAGTTAGAAAGGAATGTGGTACGTTCTTTCCTGGGTTACAAAGGAATTTTGAATACCAGAGATAATTCTGAACCTCAGAGAGTATCGAATCAGAATTGTCCGAGAAAGTTAGGGCCAGGAAGGGAAAAAAAGAGTTAGAAAGGAATTTAATAAGAATTTTTCCTGAGTTAGGAAGGAATTATGAATACCAGAGAGAATTCTGAACTTCAGAGACAATCGAATCAGAATTCCCCAAGAAACGCTGGGGCCAGGAAGGGGAAACGGAGTTAGAAAGGAATTCGATAACGATTTTCCAGAGTTAGAAAGGAATTTTGAATACCAGAGATAATTCTAAATCTCAGAGCCAATCGAGTCAGAATTCCCCAGGAAACGCTGGGGCCAGGAAGGGAAAAAGGAGTTAGAAAGGAATTTGATAAGGGATTTCCAGAGTTAGAGAGGAATTATGAATACCAGAGAGAATTCTGACTTCAGAGATTATCGAATCAGAATTCCCCAAGAAGCGCCGGGGCCAGGACAGGGAAACGGAGTTAGAAAGGAAATTAATAGGGAAATTCCACAGTTAGAAAGGAATTTTGAATACCAGAGAGAATTCTGAACCTCAGAGACAATCGAGTCCGAATTGCCAGAGAAAGCCAGGGCCAGGAAGGGAAAAAGGAGTTAGAAAGGAATTTGATATGGAAATTCTAAAGGTAGAAAGGATTTTTGAATGCCAGAGAGAATTCTGAATTTCAGAGACTATCGAATCAGAATTCCCCAAGAAACGCTGGGGCCAGGAAGGGAAAACGGAGTTAGAAAGGAATGTGATAAGGACTTTCCTGGGTTACAAAGGAATTTTGAATACCAGAAGTAATTCTGAACCTCGGAGAGTATCGAATCATAATTGCCCGAGAAAGCCAGGGTCAGGAAGGGAAAAAGGAGTTAGAAAGGAATTTGATAAGGGATTTCCGGAGTTAGAAAGGAGTTTTGAATACCTGAGAGAGTTCTGAACTTCAGAGACAATCGAATCATATTCCCCAAGAAACGCTGGGGCCAGGAAGGGGAAACGGAGTTAGAAAGGAATTTAATAAGGAATTTCCAGAGTTAGAAAGGAATTTTGAATACCAGAGATAATTCTAAATCTCAGAGCCAATCGCGTCAGAATTGCCAGAGAAAGCAAGGGCCTGGAAGGGAAAAAAGGAGTTAGAAAGGAATTTGATAAGGAATTTCCAGAGTTAGAAAGGAATTTTGAATACCAGAGAGAATTCTGAATTTCAGAGACTGTCGAATCAGAATTTCCAACGAAACGCTGGGGCCAGGAAGGGGAAACGGAGTTAGAAAGGAATTCGATAAGGAATTTCCTGAGTTAGAAAGACAATCGAGTCCGAATTGCCCGAGGAAGCCAGGGCCAGGAAGGGAAAAAGGAGTTAGAAATGAATTTAATAATGAATTTCCAGAGTTAGAAAGGAATTTTGAATACCAGAGAGAATTCTGAATTTCAGAGACTATCGAATCAGAATTCCCCAAGAAACGCTGGGGCCCGGAAGGAAAAAAGGGAGTTAGAAAGGAATTTGATATTGAATCTCCTGAGTTAGAAAGGAATTTCATTCTTGGTGTTGTTTTTAACAAAAAAGAAACGACGCCGGGAGGTCTGGGCTAGGAAGGAAAAAGGAGTTAGAAAGAGACTTGATAAGGAATTTACAGAGTTAGAACGGAAATTCCGTTTTCGGGAATCGTTTTTTTGCTTTTTTACGACGCCGGGAGGTCTGGGCGAGGAAGGAAAAAGGAGTTAGAAAGAGATTTGATAAGGAATTTCCAGAGTTAGCAAGGAAATTCGTTGTCGGGGCGTTTTTTTTTACGACGCCGGGAGGTCTGGGCCAGGAAGGAAAAAGGAGTTAGAAAGGAATGTTATAAGGGAATTCCAGAGGTAGAAAGGAATTCCGTTTCGGGGGGTCTTTTTCCCAACCATCCTGTGGTGTTGGGTCCTCGTTTTGAAGAGACGTCGCCCCGCGTTCCTTCCTTCCCGCTGCCCCCTCCCTCCTCCCATCTTCATCATCATCGTCATCATCCCCATCATCGTCATCGTCATCATCATCTGTCGTCATCATCATTATCACCACCCATGTCGGCACACCCCTCACACGTTTCGTGACCCCATAGGGAGCTCCACCGAAGGTCCCAGTGCGTGTGCCCGCATGCGTCCCGCACACCCATTTCGGCACACCCCTCACACGTTTCGTGGCCCCATAGGGAGCTCCACCGAAGGTCCCAGTGGGTGTGCCCGCATGCGTCCCGCACACCCATTTCGGCACACCCCTCACACGTTTCGTGGCCCCATAGGGAGCTCCACCGAAGGCCCCAGTGGCTGCCGTCCGCATGCGTCCCGCACACCCATTTCGGCACACCCCTCACACGTTTCGTGGCCCCACAGGGAGCTCCACCGAAGGCCCCAGTGCTGCCGTCCGCATGCGTCCCGCACACCCATTTCGGCACACCCCTCACACGTTTCGTGGCCCCATAGGGAGCTCCACCGAAGGCCCAGTGGCTGCCGTCCGCATGCGTCCCGCACACCCATTTCGGCACAC